ACCCTAACTATTCTATGATTCTATGTCACAGTGATATGAAGTTGACTTTAAAAGAGGAAAAATGAAGGAGCATTTTAACTGTTTGCATTTCAGTTCATCAGAAATAACAAGATCACTTTTCATCTTCTCAAAGTTCTACAAGACTTCTGGTCAAAGTAGTTCAGTATCTTGTGTCTGTTCTAATTGTATCTGTGTCCCCGCATGCAGTACCAGGACAGTGGTTCAGCACTAGCTCTTCACTGCACAATACTACAGGATTTAGCTCTTCCCAGACATCTTCCTTCCTTCTTAATGAGTTGTATAGTCCAAATTAGTCTTTGAGAATCAAAAATATTTTTCCAGGAAGTGGTATGGATTTAGGACACCAAGCGATTCCTTTTTTTTTTTTTTAAAACACACACAAAAAATGGGTTAATGGAACCAGTTTAAAAATATCCTGACTGTTTTTTAACCTTCTTTCTTTTCCTTTCAGCCTGAACATTGAAAGGCCTTGTTTTCTCAGCCATAAACCTCCTGTCTGCTATCCTATACTGCTTCATGTAAATGCACGCTTAAGGCAATACTACCCTCAGGCTCCCTGTCCAGTGCTCTCAGGAAGAACAGATACAATTCCTCTCTCCACCTTTTTGCTACCAATGTCACAGAGATAATGACAGCACACATACAGAGTATGAGTCAGAGACACCTCTTTTCTTTATCATATTATTATCTGGGATAAAACTAATGGCAAAGAAAGGCCCTTAAACATTTGCTGCCTGCCTTGAATACATCTTAAGGGTTGTTGAGAGCATGGGAAGGATAGGAATTGCCAGGGAAAGGCAAGAGATAGAAGAGATTAAAAATTAAGAGGATGAAAAGAGCAGGGAACAAAGAGGTGGCAGCCCATACTTACTATATCTATTCATCCATATAACATGACAAAAGGAAGACAGTAAGGCAAATATTCAGCTCATTTATCTTCTGTAACTACCTGCATATCCATGCTGTTCAGAGGGAAATACGCGCTATTCCTTTGTACTTACACACACATACTCTGGACTATTTATAGAAACAGCACAGGCTTTAGTGAAAGCCAGTCAGATTTTCTGAATTCCTTTTAGGAGTTTTGTTCCTGTATCCACATAATTTTAAGAAGGGAAATCACTGGTTAGTGTAACTGAACATCTGTTCTTACTGTATCTGTACAAGAGAACACAATCACTGAAATAAACATAGATGTTTACTGATATTTTAAAGGGGAAAAAGAAAAAAAAGGTATACTGTACCAGTGTTAGCCATAGTAGATAGCTTTGCTAGAAAAACCCAAAGCAAACCAACAAACCCCCAGATTTTGCACTTAAAAGTGACTATCTGCATTAATTTTGCTAGTAAGGTATTTATTTTACTCACATTTCTGTGTGTTTGCTTTGAGGAAAAAAAAAAGACAAAATCCATTTCACATTTTTAGAAGCATCACAAGTATGTAGAGATTGCCATGTGTTTGCAATACAGAGGGTGAGCACAGCACAGCTTTACGAACATAGTGACGTGGTTTACATAGGACTGTGGAAACTGCATTTACTTAAATAATAAAAACCAACTTGGCAGTGTTGCTCCAAAACCAGTACAGGAAAAAAAAAAACAAAACCAAAAACCCAGAAAATACATAGATAACTTTATAACCACTATTAAAATTGTTAGGGGCAAGTGATCACAGGAGTACAAATGCATTGCGAGTTCATGCACTTAATTCTGAGCTGAGTTCACAGTTTTAACACAGAAGCGGCAAAAATAAACTGTAAATAATTTTGAAATAGTGGCTTCTATAGAGGAAATACTAAATAAAAATATCTGGAAAATAATGTCAATCATATGTTAGTAAAGATGGGATATTTATTTATTTTACACGCTTTAAAGACAAGTGAACATCCATAACTTGAAAACCAGTAATGGGTACTAGATACTTTCTTCTGAAGGATGAATTTTCAATCTAGGGTGAGTCAGCAACAATTAACGATTGATACTTTGTATTGGGATAGGGAGTATATTTTTCAGTATATTAAAAATGTGGAATTATTACAAAGATACCTAGGTCTTAACCTACTACCTCGTAATCCATCCCTAAAAATCAAATGAACTTCTAGGAACCTATCACTTTTTTGCAAGACCCATCTGGTATTTTAGAACACTCACAGTTGTGAACTCGACATACAAGGGAGGGAAGTCTTATAATGACATACAGCCTGTTTTAGTATGGGGAGAGAGAAAAAAGGGCATTAGAAACACATATAATAAACCACACATGCTAGAAGAGCACTTTCAGGGGCGCACTTGGATTTCTTTCCTCTTTCCCCAAGATAATGTACCTATGCCAACATTATTGCATCTAGATGCGTTCAGTTGAAATCACTGTAGTTCACAGTGAGTGCATGCTTACTCTGGAACTCTCTGAAGGGCTCAAAGTCTGACAGCAACTCAGGGGAAATCATAGAGAATATGCCATTTCAGCATGAGCCAACAGGCCAAGCTGGACAGAGCCTTGGGCAACATAGTTTAGTGTGTGGTGTCCCTGCTCATGGCAGGGAGTTGGAACTAGATGATCTTAAGGTCCTTTCCAACCCTAACTATTCTATGATTCTATGATTCTATGATGGGGGAAGACTGCGAAAATAAAATGGACTTCTTGAATGTAACAATAAAATTTCTGCTGATTTTTTTTTTTTCTCTGCAGTGGTAAGGCTATGCCTGTCTGACTTAATATTAACAAGAGGATTAAGAACATGGGAAAGGCCACACCATCTCAAATCAAATGTCAATCTAGCCTGGATCTCTTCTTTCACAGAGATGGAAAAGCAGAAAGAGTACAAAAGTAGGGCAGATTGTATTTTCCCCAAATAGTATCCCAGAGTTCCAACAACTTATGAGTTAAGGGATTTCTGAAACAGAATTTTCGACCTCAAGGATGTATTATGAAGTATAAGCATTAAAAAAAAAAATAAATCTCATTTTAGGTTTGCCTGATACCCCTGGTTCCTGTACTGGAAAAGACAATAAGTAGTTGCTCTCTATTCACCATCTCAAGGACAATCAGGATTTTATAACTTGTATCCTATGTCCTCTCAGCCAGCTCCTGTGCAGAACAGAGTGCTGTGCTTAGTGAGTTCTCCAGTACCTGTCCAGAATTGTAGAGATACTCAAGACAGAAGCAAATGAAAGATTTGAAGACTGGCAGAATTAATATACTCTACTACATTCTCTTTTCCCTTCCTGGTAATCCGTAATAATATGAGGGGACAAAGCATTTTATGAAAACCTGGACATTAAACTTGCTTTGTAACTGTTGATGAGTAGTGGAATATGGAATCTTCACTACATGCTGTTCAGACCAGTGCTTCTTGGGGGCAAGAGAAGCGTAAGCGTAAAGTAAAGGCCAAATGCAAAACCACCTAGACAGCTTCTTTGTAGGGAAGGAAGAAAGAGGGTTAGAAGAAAGAGTATAACAATCTTTAACAAGTCTAATATTTAGTCAGTTCAAATCTAGAAAACACTAGTGTGTCAACACCTGAGACTAACAACACTCCAGCAAACGAGTGCTTGCAGCAGTGTACATCCTAACAGTGTCCATATCCTAGCTGTTGTGACTGCTCAGAGTCTCTTCATTGTAAGAACTTGTGTCTGCTTGTTTTCTACTGCCACATCAGTCGCAGAAATCAGTGACTGCATCTCAACCACCAGTCTCATGAGCACAATTCTGTTGTGCACCTATAGTCCTTGTAGGGTAAGACCATGAAGTGTCTCCTGTGGTCCTAATTAATTTCTTGGAAGCTGAAGAAGTCATTTGTACAGGTTACACAAATGGAGGTTTAGAATAAATATAGTTTGATACAGCAGAAAAGCATCTTGTTTCAGGATATAAAAGTTATATAACAGATAGGTGCATATAGTTTTATAAAATGCTTGCAAATTAGTAGATAATCTAGAAAATATTCTTGAAGTTCCTCAAACAATAAAGATTACTATTCTTATATACGCTTTCTTAAGGAACCTGGAAAAATCAATACCGCACTTAGAATGCACTAGTTTCCTAAAGCTGAAATGCACATAAATGCATTATGTATTTTTGTATGTTCCAAGTTGTTGTGGTTAGTGATTTCTAGGATATACATGAATCAGGACTGCAGAAAATGGTCTATAATTTTGATGAATTACTGATGTTTTTCCCGTCCAATTTCTCTCATCAGTGTTACTAGTAACAATCTTTGTGGTGGAAGGGATTGCTGTTGCACAGAAGACACAAGGTACAATTTTGGTTTGATGATTTTCTTTCAAAAAATGTAATGGTTTTCTTATTTTTAAATAAGTAATATGTGATAGAAAGTATTTGTGTTCAGATATTAATAGCTCTTAAATTACCAATATAAATTCCAGTATTTTCAATTTTCCCCCTATTTACTACATTTATTTTCCAATTGAACAAAGCCATTCAGTCACAAAGAACTTACCCAGTTAAAATTCTATGCGTTTAGACCTTAGAAGTGGGAAAAAAAGCACCACAGAAATTCATGTGTTCTGTGTCTGATAAGCTTTTCAAATAGTCCACCCACAACCATTTTTGAAGCTTGCTGAGTGGGGAAGCCATCAGTTTCACAAACCTTATTTTCTTATATGCGGATTAACCCACGCTTAGGAGAGAAGAATTCCTAGAACTGACACCTACAGAATTTCCTTTAACAGTTTCTGCAGGAGAGACTTGAGTTTTCACCCCTATAAATCCAAAAGCTGCCAAGATACCAGTGGAAGGTGATATAATTTACTGGAGGCAGCCAAGACCTATATCAGCATGGACTCCCACTCAAAGGTCTGCAAATTAAAAGTGTGTAAATGTAAATAACGTTATGAGATCACCCTGTAAGAATTAGGAAAAATCTAGTAGAAACCACATACCCTGTGTCATACTCAGTCCAGTACTGCTGATAAAAAGGAGAAGGGCCAAAGGTACTTGAGAAGAATGTCTGAGATCATACTATTCCTAACTTCTCTTTGGATAAGGAAATCTGAACTAACAAAGCTCCTGCAAATGGTCCAGCATGGTGCAGTAGTTTGGTAAACTGCATAATCTCAGTCAAGGACCATATTTCCCTGAACATCCAGAAGAGCTTTGATCTTAAATGAGACCCTTAGCTACCAGTGCAATCTACCTATTGCTAGTAATTTTATTAGCTACCATTGATATATTTAGTGTATTTTACAAATCATAATTTTTTCTGTTACAAGCATTCTGTATTTAAAAAAAATACTGTAAATAGATGTTTATCCTAAGGGCCATATACTTCAGTATAATCTGGAATCAGGGCAAAAATAGTAAAAGCTAACGAGTATTTTTGATTATATTATTTGTGTAGGAATGGAGAAGACATAAGCCATAAAATAATGCTGCTGTATCAGCAGCCACTCTGTTCGACTTAGGAAGAAGAGCATCAAAAAGTCTGAACTGACTTGGGTAAAAAAAAGAATTCACTCCCTCTCTTCCCTTCCCAAGGATTATTCAACATATTTGGTATTCTAAAACTGTGATCTCTTTAGGGTATATCACATCACTAAATTAAATATGAGATTTTCCTTGCTAGATATTAGCAAGCAACATAGTAAGAGGGGTTTCAACCAAAATAAAGTACTTTCTTCTTTTATAGGATATGGGTTATATCAGTGTTTTAGTTTTTTGTAAAATCAAACTTGCATGCTTGCTGAAGAAATCTATTTGACCGCTTTTTTTTTCCACTTAAGGTGGGCAAAATATTGGCACGAATCGTATTCCTCCCACCCAGTGTGATAATTGGGTACGGACAAGCAATGGCGGACATTTTGCTTCACCAAACTACCCTAACATGTACCCACCAAATCAAGAGTGCATCTATATCTTAGAAGGTACATGCTGTATTTCTCTTTCGTTGTATTGTAATCTTACTGTTCATTGGATAATCTTGAACTGTTAAAACTGTGTCATCTTACTATACTGTCAAATACTCTATAGCCATACTGGTAAATAATCAATTCTGCAGTCATTTGGTTAAACAAGAAACTAATTTGCTCTCTGAAGTAATAACAACACATTAATAGAAAATGCAATCATTCAGGAATTAGCTGTATGGAATAATACATACCCTCACAGCCAGAAAATGCAGCATCAGGTCTACTGTAATCTATGAAGACAGAGAACTACTAAGATAAAAACTCTAACTTGCTATCTTAATATAACTTCCAATATTACTGATAATAAAAAGCGAAAGATTCATGAAGACTGTCTTCAGCATTTACCAGATCTTACTGTATTATCCAAAGAGTATCCCACAAGCAGAAAATCTTTATGCTGTCCTTTATTAATAAAAAAAGACACATCTGACTGCCATGGAAATGTACTAAAAATACAGAGATTTGTTAGCACTGTGGAGGTCACTACTAAAATAACGTGATGAGGACAAAAAAAATTCATTAACTAGAATAAAACCACATTCCAACAAGAATATCTTGGGTAAAGGCTACAAGACTTGGGACACACTAATTATTTTTTCCTCTTACTAGAGTACACCCAAAACCCACTGAAATCAGCTAAAAACGTTAGCTTAATGATCAGATTCATATCAATTAATTGAAATATTTCAAGTAACATTTCAGTGTGGTTTTGTATGTACAATATACTAGTGGTTCACAGACCCTCATTTTTGCTTGCATGCATGCACATCTGATGTTCTGCCTCTTTCCTGCCAGTGAGGGTACAGGGGAGCAGATGTGTCCATCTTCAGCATTGGGACATACTAGATCCACTGCTGGATCTCCCTGATGCGAGGCAGTTTTCATGGGGCACAAAGTCTCACAGTACTTACACAGAAAAATTATGGTTACTTGAATGAGACCAAGGTCCTCCACAATTTCTAGCTAAAATATTCCTGCACAACTCTGCCAATATGTGCAGCTACAAATGTTTTAAACTCATTTATAAGGTCTAAACAAAGTGTTAGAGACGTACAACTAAATCCTTTTTGCATTCAGAAGCAGCAGACAGCATGTGGTTCTTTAATGCTGTCATTCTAAGTAACCAATTAGTATCTGAAAGTTCATGTAGCTTAATAGATGACAGAAACAAGAAGCACTTAAGCTATTCGTACAATATAAAGTCACAGTTCTGAACTACAGATGTGGAAGTCTGGTCACAAAGTAGCCATAGCTGATGTCCTCAGGACACAGGGGTCTGATCCAAGTCCTGATGTTAGACTGACACCTGCATATTAGTAATGTATATAAAGCATTTACACTTCTCTGAATATTTTAGTAAAAGATGTCTCCTGCCAAAGGATCTCCAAATTTGGGCTTGATGTTTTGGAAATGTACCAGTAAGTAGTTTTTCATATCTTTTTCTTTTCCATTCTTCTCTGTATACCTCAATGTTTAGTTTTCTTTTTTAATGTACTTCGCTTTCACAGAATACTGATTTTAATTTATATTTAATATTAAACCTTGTTTGAATAGTTTTGCATATATGTTAGTATCTGTCTGTTACATGTGCTGAATTCAATTTATATTATTTCTGAATTTTCAACAATAAAGATCATCAAGCAAAAAAAATTCCATGAAAAAGGATCTCCTACACAATAATTTTTTTTTTATTACAGTATATCTGAGGTTTTGTAACAGACTGCCAGATGTATTTTGAGAAGTTTCCAGTCTCTTTTTTATCTTGCTGTCTTGGAGACCTGTCTGTTCATTATTTCATGTCTTCATTTGTTTTTTATATAGATCTTCATTTAATATTTTGCTCTATTTTTTCTGTCTAGCTTCTCCACGACAGAGAATTGAGTTGACCTTCGATGAACCTTATTACATAGAACCTTCATTTGAATGTCGCTTTGATCATCTGGAGGTTCGAGATGGACCCTTTGGTTTCTCCCCTCTCATTAATCGTTACTGTGGTCTGAAAAGTCCTGCACTAATTAGGTCAACAGGGAGATTTATGTGGATCAAGTTTACTTCTGATGAGGAGCTGGAAGGAAAGGGATTTCAAGCAAAGTATTCATTTATACCAGGTAAAGATGCCTAACATTCTGACCAAGTTAATGACTGTCCACTCCCATGGAATTCTGTGATGTGTTCATGCTGGCCCGCTAGAGCTGTATTTCATCCTAAGTGCTTATGAAGGCAAAATGACAATGTGATAGTTAGAGTCTCAATCCTGCTACTCCTACAGCATACTTAACTAAAACCACTTTGGAAAGTAATATACTGAAGGAAATTGCACGTCTGCAGTTTGCTAGAGAAGCCAATTGATCTTGTTTGTGCTGAAGGCTTTACCAACTTCCCTCTTTGTTACTACTCTAACTCGTACCAGTACTTTACCAGTGTGAGTAATGGAAGGAGCATTTATGTAGACAAACAGCTGTCGTTTTCAACAGCATATCTTCCAGGAATATAAGATACTATGAGGAAAACACCTGAAGGTCATCTGCAGTAGCACTACCAGCCAGATGCAAAGCATTTTAAATGTCCTTTCTGAAAAGCCAGAGGAAATACGTACATAGTTCAAGCATCAGCTCTCAGTGTAACTAGATTCTCTCAACCCACAAGCTCAGACAACAGAATTATTCTTTGCTTAAAGTACTGTGTAGTTTACAGGGTATAGAGGAGAAGATAATATGCTGACAGTGCCTTTGTTAAAACAAAAGTACATCTGCTCTGTGGGGCCACTTAAAATTGGCAGGGCATTCTTTTTACAGAAAGATTTGACGTCGTGTCCTTGTGCAGTGCAGTGCAGTGCTTGACTGCTGTACTTCGTAGATACTACACATGTAGTTATCAGCATTTTACTGTCTTATGGGACAAAAGACCATATACAAATGTCAGCTTTACTACTACTGTAAATGTATACACAGGCGTAACTTTTTAATGTCACCTTTACTCAACTGGTCTTTACTTCTACAGCACATGAAAACACTACATGATTATGTCTTACTGCTCATAGAACTGTGTACTTTACTAGGGATTTAGACTTGGAAACTCTTCAGATTAAGAAGGCTGGTGAACGGTCCACTGGAAGTAACACACTAAAATGTTTTCATAGGGTCAGTACTTAAGTGTTTTGTTAAGTTCATTTCCAAAGCCATTTCATTAACATCACTTTCAAAACTAACTTATCCTAGTTCCAGGCTGGAACTTAAAATATACATTTAAACTGTATATTATTTTCACAATAGATTGTAGCAACTGAGGGCCCAATTTTATTTTTTTTCCCTTTTCTTTCCTCTACATTTACATGGAATGTGGTAAAATATTTTGAGATTGTGAAAATGGAAGGGGACATGCACATACACCCCCACTTAGTTCACAAGTTAAAATTTTCACTGAAAACTTCAGAAAGTAATGTAGAAACAACGTACCAAATAGCAGGTTTTGTGTTAAGCTGGAAATCTGTGCTGTCAGTATAGAATTACCTTATTCAGATCAGGTCAATCTTTGTGGAATAATGTTACCTAAAAGAAAAAATATGTTTCTGTACCTTGCAATCAATTCAGTAAACAATTTCTATTGTGGTATAATAATAGATACAATCTTCAGCTTATACTAAAACTTGAAGTGATTCTCAAGCACTGATAGTCCATGTGATTTATGACTTCTTTCTATTACAGATCCTGACTTCACTTACCTAGGAGGTATTTTAAATCCTATCCCAGGTCTAGTATTACAGTAACAATTTTTTTATATATTAGATTTTACATTAATATCATAATGCATTTGACTGCAAGGTGTATCTTCTCCCTAGACTGCCAGTTTGAGCTCTCAGGAGCTGATGGAATAGTACGTTCTAGTCAAGTAGAACAAGAAGGAAAAACAAAACCAGGACAAGCAGTTGACTGCATATGGACAATTAAAGCTACTCCAAATGCTAAGGTGGGTTTCATTCATATCATTCAACATATAATGGGTTTCCAAGTCACTAGTAACAGGTAATAGTCACTAGCTGTGATTTGCATAATTTCTCACTTTCACTGAAATGAGTGTCTTAGGAAATCCAGATAGAGGATTGTTCCTGAATTAAATTTACAGAGCAAGTTCACAGTCTTGTCTTCCTGGTATTTGAAACTTAAGATACAAAATAACTGTGAACAGTCTTCAAGCAGCAATTTTCAAGGCATTTGACTTGGACTTTGGTTTTATTGGAAGACGGCAGGCAAAGATGCTAGCTAACAGTTTTGATAAATTTCATTAAATCTTGCTGCCCCCATTTTGAAATTTTGCCTCCAGTGGTTCTATTGGAAAATTTGGTTTTGTTCAAAGTCAAAAGAACACGTACCTGCTCCTCCCCAGTGTAATTCACAATCCAGCACCTTAAACCCCACTTTCAACGGTAGCCTTAGCTAAAATGAAAAGCTTTAGCTGAAAGCAGCTGAGGAATTGTGACTCCTTCCCTTCTGACTTAGCTATAGGATCACACCCTCTTAAAGTGCTACAGTAAAATTTGCTAGAGCTTTTCTGCCCAAGCCCTAAAGGGGCATAGCAGCTGTTCTAGCCAAAAATCAGCATACATTACCTGCATACCTGGTATTTGTGATTGTGCCTGCAGAACTGGAGACTGCTTAGGAAAGCATCACTATCTTATGCTCATTAAAAACAATTTGAGCTTTATTGTTGGGCAGGGAGAAAGATAAAATTCTATTCATAAAATTCTATTCATAATTCCAAATATAGCCTGTTCAACAAAAAACAATAGCTATATGTTTCAGAGACATAGAATGGTTAACAACTTAGGAGTTGCGCTGAAGAATACATATTTTTTTCTCCATATAGCATACACATCTTTCATTTTGCTCCTGTATGTGTATTAAAGCACGTATCACTGCTTGTATGTACATAAAAATTAAAAATTATTTCTAAGCAGTAGCTACCAAGATAACAAACCTAGTGTATGCCTTCCTATGTACCCCAGTGGTTAACCAGCTTCCAAATTAGAAGTTCAAAACCAGCAACTTAAAAGATGGTAGTAAGAGGACAAGACAAGAAAGAAATTAAAACTTCGTTAATATATTTCAGCCTTTGAGGAAGTGACTCAACTCCCAGGAGCCCTATACTAGTCTAAGTAATAGTAGCAGTTCTTCCAGAAACAATAAAATCATTTTCTCCCTACATTGCCACTGGAGTGCACCAGGTCTTGTGCTTAAGTATTTTAATAAATTATTGAATGTTGCCAGAAGGCAGAGTTATACTGGGTTAGTCCTGTGATTAGATCATCATCCTAAATGACAGAGCTGAAACATTACAAAAAAATAATTCTTAGTATTCTGAGAGTAGTTTCTCAAGCTTCAAATCTGGCAGAATTACGATGATAAAATCCATTAGATCTGTTATGGTGCATTCTCTTGAGAAAAATAAGCATAGACATTTTTAATTTCCTCAATTTGATTTTGAAATAAAAACAAATTTTTAAAATTGACAACTGCAGCAATGAAAGGACTTCTAAAATCTGAGTAACAGATACTTACACATACAGAGAATAGTTCTAAAGGCGTCCTAGTTTATTTTTAGCTTCCCTTGTAATTTCACAGCAGATAGATGAAGTCAATCATTAAATGAAAATACTATCTCTCAGCCCGTATACTAGCACTTAACAGCTCACACCCATGTTTGTGAGGTAAGACATCAGTGGAAGACAGGTTCTCAATGCAGCTGAGAACAAATACAGCAGGAGTGAAAAAGAAAGAAAAAAAATGTATACTGAAAATCACACAATAGTGCAATGAAGCATGAGATAATACAGCACAGGCTGCACCTTTCAGTAGTGTGCAAGGGGAGACAGAGCTGGCAACGTGCCTCTGGAAAACACTGGAAAGGAAAAGTCAGGATGTGCCAGTGTTGCCTGCCTTTTCCTGTGCTCGCTATTTTACCATGTTTTCAATACAGCTTGTTAAGTGTGTTTAGGGGGGGCATATTTTTTTATTTCCCCACACAAAGTTGGTTGGTTTTGGTTTAGTGTGAATTCTTTACAATTCAATTTTAAAAGGCTTTGGCTGTAGCTGAGGTTAAAAGAGAGATATGGCAAAAGGGCAGGAAAACTAGGTAATACAGAAATACTAAGTGTGGTATTAATCTACTCATCTCCCCTGCTTCACAAGCTAAACAAGAGCTGGAGATGTTTGTCATGAGGCAGATGCATGAAAAAGCACACTGTGCAAAAGGTCCTTAGCGCCTGTAACAGCAGCCAAGAGAGGTAGCTGTAGGCTGTACTCAAAATACATCCAGTCTACACCTTACCTGAGGAACATACTGAAGACTTTGAGAGCAGAGGTGGAGCATATCTTCTCCCACAGAGCAGGAGACCTCTGTTTCCAGATGGATAGATTTCTTCTCTCTCAAAATAATGGCTATTTGAGGAATTTTTAAAGTTTAAGGATGGCCTTTGCAGCATGCTTAGGTGAGTTAGTTACACAGCTCATTTAACTCCCCTAGAATTTTGAGAATCCCAATACAACCATTCCAGAGATTAAAAAGGCCTGTGATTTTTCCTCTAGTTCTAGCTGATTTATAATCTTGCATGTTTCCTGCTTCAGCAAAATAAATTATTTGCTTATTTTCCAAGTGCCATATTGGTCTTCCAGTTTCCTTGCTGCATATGTTCTCAGATATACGCTGCATTCTCTTGAATTAGATTCCTGCTTTTGGAGGAATTAAGATTGGTTTAACTTACTCTTCCTCTTTTACTGTTCTTCTGCTTCCGTTTTTACTCAGATTACTCCTGATTTCATGGCTTGTGTCTTCCATAACAGTGCTATGATACAGTAATTAGCTTTCATTCTGAAGCAACAAATTTTAATTTCCTTATTTTTCCTTCAGAGCCTTTCTGACTAGACTCCTTCCCTCATATTTTAATGTTGTTAGGAATTAAAAAGAAAGAAAACAGTAAAAATACTATTAAAATTCTTTCAGCACATTCATGTTTTTCTCATATCTCTTCTAGAGTAATAGGCTGCACATGTAGCAGAGCTCTTCAGGGCTTTCTTCAGCAAGTGTGTTGGTTTTTACCTTTTTTTTTTCCCCCCAAGAGGAGTAGAAACATATCAGAGTAAATTATTAAGTAAAGATTGTTTTGGGGAAGGGTTGAAGCAAAACGGTCACTTAAGACAAACTTAAGTAATACTCCACATTTACATGAGAAAATGTAAGCTTAAAAGTGCTGTGCATTGGGAGTTACACATGTGTAAGGGGACACATCTCCAAGATTTGCTAAGACTGTCTTCTCTGTATTACTTTTCCTAGAGACATTAATTTCTCTTTTCTAACAGATTTATATGCGATTTCTCGACTATCAAATGGAGCATTCAAATGAATGCAAAAGAAACTTTGTTGCTGTGTATGATGGAAGTAGTTCTATTGAAAACCTGAAGGCAAAATTCTGCAGTACTGTAGCAAACGATGTCATGCTGCAGACTGGGACAGGTGTAGTGCGGATGTGGGCAGACGAAGGCAGTAGGCTAAGCAGATTCAGAATGCTGTTCACTTCCTTTGTGGATCGTAAGTATATTTTAAAGTGCCTATTCTCCCTGGTACTTCAGGTATTTTAGGAGAAGCATCAGCTACATATTATGCAGCAGGAAAAACACATGCAAAAGATTGTTTCCATTTCCTTCATGTACTGACATCTAAATTAAATACTTGCTTTATTACAGTTATAAGCATGGTTCCTGAAGAAAGGCTTTAGTCCATTCTTAAAAGGTTTATTTTTCATTTTAAGTCAGTAATAATACAGCCCTAGGCTATGTCATTCTCACAAAGAGTTCTACAGATGAGCACAGACTTACTTAAAAAAGACAGCAGTGTTACTGAAGTGTGCTGGCCCACTAGCCCTCATCTGCCAGTTCCCTGCCAGTTTCCACAACAGACTTTTCCCAAGCCCACACAGGATGTTTAGAAGGCTAGAGAACACATGTGACCCCACAGAGTCTGGAACTACCTCCAGTTTCGGGTCTGGAAGTAGACACACTCCAGCTACACCTAAGCTGCTACCTCCTTCTCAGCTGCATGTGTCTTGGAGCAATCCTACACGTGCTCCCTTAGCAAAGTCCGGTTGTGTTGCACAACCATGGATAAACAGTTAAATTCAAACTATTTAAGAAGGCTGTATTAAAAGCAGAGCTGTAAATGCAAACTGGATTTCTGTTTGGATCCCATGGGGTGGAGAAAGTCTTTATTCGCATTGTAAATGAAGATGTTTCTTTAAAGTGTCAGATTTTCTTTGAAGTGCTTTCTGTCTGAACTTACTGGAATATGTTGCCTCATGTATGGACATCGTCCACATTGCAGAACCTGAAAATAAGTGGCATCTTCAGGACTAAAGTAGACTAAGTTCAGAGCTGCAGAGCAGATCTGTGATACATGGGGAATGCTGAATGAAACATATCTTCCATTTCAGGAAATCTGACCTATGCTTGTGCCAAAGGTTTTCAAAAGGCTCTGCTTGAAGAATAAGTAGTGCGGATTTGCTGTCGAAATACCTTTTTTGACAGAACTAGTATGTCTGTAGCCAGACCTGAAGGGGTCCTCGTCACCACCTTGCAAAAAAGTTTAGGTTACAGATAACAAGTGGATTTTATATTCTGTTCCATAAAACAGTAAGATTTTAACACAAGCTAAAAGTTAGACTTAAGAGACTTCAGAGAAATAGCTAATTGCTTACGTTGCCTAGGTGGTGCAATAAACAATTGCATGGTTCAAACTAGTCTATTGTTTAAGCTAGTTAAGAGGCTAGTTAAGAGGCAATTTAATAACAGTTAGATACTGTGCTTAAAATTGGTATTTACTGCAATTCACAACTTGCAAAAATCAAGAACTACTTTTCCAATAGCTTTTATTTCAATACAATTATTGATATTAGTGATAGTGCAAATTATTCTAGCTTTCAATCTAGAAAATGCTATGAACTTTGCCAGGGAAATCATCTGTTTATATTACAAATTCTGGAGTGGGGTTGGGTTTTTCTTCTGTTGAGTTTAGGTTTTGGGGGTTCTTTTTGTGGTGGTTTTTTGAGTGCAAGAGGTTGAAACAGTTACTACTCCTAAAGCTAGATGACTTTGCCAACTTACAATTTTAAAGCAATTCAAAAGTCATTGGCAGAAGAAAACCTGAAATGGTATATGGTTATTTTTGTTTATGTTCTAACTTGAGATGCCATCTTTATTGGATAGGGTAATTGAAAGGTATGTGTCTGAAAAATGTTTCATATATTTTTAAATCATCTAGTGATAAGCAGTTTTTCTAACTGAAAAAAGTGAATCCTTGCTTATCTTATTTCCAGATCATTAGGCTATTTTTCTCTTCTACCTTACTAATGATTTGTAATTATTTGAAGCCAACAATGAAAACAATCAATATTTCTGAAAAGATTTACGTGCATGACAGTCACCTAACACACACCTAGTGCTGCTTGCAGATTTGACTAATTCAGCTAACAGCAATGTTAAAAATCAATGTATTTGATTTGTGGCAGTATAACTGAATTGCTGTGGCTCAGTTCAGTATAACATGAATAATCCTAGGTACAAAGAACACTGTGAACATTGCACCAGTCTTAGGCAGCTGTTATGAGCCCTGCTATGTCCTTGAAGCCCTGGAGTGGAACCAGTTAGTCCTTGTGACTTGTAGCCTTAGTAATACCCAGATAAACAAAAGTAAAATTAAATCTATTTGTCACATTTTTACGAACCTGTGAACAAAAGCCATCCCCAAAAAACGTTAAGGAGACTATGCGGAAATGTAAGATAGAGGCTCTGCTGGCAGATGGAGAAGCAGCAGCAGAATGCATCATCCAAATATATGAAACAAATTCCCCTTTCAGGGAAATGGAGGGAATGTGTCTTACATCATCATTTTTCCTTTGCCTCCAAAAGAACTACAACTCCATACTGATCTATACTAGAACACCAGCAGATACACATGGATCCATGACAACCACTCTGGACACAAATTTCATAGATCCTCCTTTATGTCAGTCAGAAATACTTCAGTAGGTATTGTAGCCTATTACATACATAGCCTTTTTAAGCTATTCTGTTTAAATGATAAGCCTATTTATCCTTTACAAAGTAAAGCTTGTGCAATCTTTCTTTCCAAATTCAGGAGAACCTACCTACTCCTTTTTCTGTCACTGAGACTCTGAAGCCTCACAGAAGGAGTGAGAAATGCTTTATTCAGCATTAGTCACCCTCCTCTGCTCTACACTTTGGATTTTGTATTGTGTTTCAGAGAATTCAGTCTGCTCAAGAGTAAATTCTTTCATGAAACCAAGGAGAACATCTACCGTGTATCTTTGCTGTTTAATGTATAACTGACTCCACTGATAATAGACATTTGTATCACAAAAAATACGACATTACAAAGACAAAGAGAAAATCAAGTTCTTGAGCAGTGCCCAGAATTCATAAAAATTCCCTATGCATATTAAGTAACATCCTGAAAAGAATTATTACTATTTTTTAATATATTTTTTAATGTCAAGGAGCTATACCAAACATTCACAGAAACATAAAATCTTTAGGACAACTTTCTAGTTAATTTATTTCTTCAAATTTCTAACTATATATAGACAGATAAAAAGCTAAACTGTACTCTTGCAATCCCTGCATTAGCTCTAACAGGAGGATCTAGGAGCTTTGATTCACAAGCAAGAATGACTTAGACGCCTTCAGTTACTGAAATCTCTTGCAATTACTGAAACAGTCCTCCACAAGCTGAAATCTGATTTGCCTTAAGGTATTAATGGGCTCTAAAATGCGTATGTTCAGGAACTGCTTCATAACATCTACATAGCAGATGCACAGCAGACTGAATAAATATGTAACTGGTGGTGAGCATACGATTTTTAAGTATTTAAAGCCAAATATTTTAAAGCCAAGTATTAAAGTATTATTTTAAGGACAAGTGTTAAAGCCTTCTTCCATTATCTGTGGTGTGTGACTGTCTCTATATGCTACCTATTTTGAGCAAGAATTTTTTTTGTAGCATTGATAATGCCCTTGCTAGAAATCATATGACAGGAGTAAATCATCCAATAATTAGTGATGTGCAAGAAAAGTGTTTGTGTTTGAAATGGAGATAAAAAATGAGTACACATGTTAAAAAAAAAAAAAAGGAATTTACTGTTTATTGCTGTGCATCAATTACTGAAAATTCCTAATGTTTTTTTTCTCTTCTATCTTACAGCTCCCTGCTCAGGCAACACTTACTTCTGCCATAGCAACATGTGCATCAATAATTCTTTAGTTTGCAATGGCATTCAGAACTGTGCATACCCTTGGGATGAAAATCACTGCAGAGGTGATTTTTTATTATCCAAAGTATAGTCTTTGTGAGTTAGGCTGGTCAGTTTGCCTTTCAAGAAAGTCATGAAATGTCTTTTTCCTGGAAATATGCTGAAGAGAGCTATTCTACTAATCTCAGAAAGGTGGTGTTCCAAATTGTTTATTTAAATTCAGGAGACGTGCAAGCATCTTGAATATTGATCTTACTGCTTTATAATTATATTACTTCATCCTCAGCATAAAGTATCTTATTTTAAAAGGATGTTGGCTTAATAGAAAATAGAATTTAGTACTTGCCAGGTTGCATCCTATCCATTTCTGAACTTTATATGAAGCGAAGATTGTAGGAGCAGGTAATACCTTTTAGAGAAAAAGATACAGACCTTGAAAAAGACAGACAAGCCTTGAAGCACAAAAAGACTTTCTCAAGCAACAGTCTTCAAAGAGAAAGACAATTTTAAAATACTTGTTTTAAGTTGTTAATCACAGGCTATCTCAGAGTAAATGCAGCTGCTGCATATAGTGTGAGAATGGGTAGGAAGAATTGTTTAGAAAGCAGAAGTCATTGCTTACGGAAAATGAACAGATGTAAATCACTGCTTTTAGAACACGGGGCACAGAAGTATTGTTTAAATCATCACAGCTACAGGAAAAATGTGTCTGAATATCAGGTTTTGTAGGAAAAATTCTCACGATATGAGGAAACTGTTATTCTGCTAAAGTGCAAATATGTTCACCTGTGCTTCAACAATCACTGAATTTTCAGAGTTGGAACAAAATAAATTTAAGGTCAGCAGTTTTTCTTGCTAAAAGAAACCAAGAAAAAACCACATGTGAGCACATGTGGTTTGTTGGTCAAAGTTTTTTTGACAAAGAATGGCATAAATAGGTCTGAACACATGACTCCACAAAGGTTTAAATACAAACTCCATTTCAAAGAGAAACTGACCCTGCAGGAAGGGTCAACACCTTCTTTACAGAAAATCTTGAAATCAGATGGCTTTTCAACACATGAATCCTAGTTAAATTTTTAGTAAATACATGTTAAAAAACATATTCTGAAATTTTGATTGGGGCAAACAAAAAAATACACACCACTAATAAATACTGAAATGCAAGGTATATTCTGGAAGCTTTCCAGTTAACAAAGCTGATCCATAACTCCCAAGTTTTCAGTGTAAAAGTGAGATCCTCTAAACAATGCTTAGCTTTGTTAATATTCAGAATTCCCTCTTAAGTGCAATTTCCAGATCTCTTTCCCATCTTCACCAACCACTTTCTAGAATCTTGCCTAGAATCCACACTTCACTGACATACTACAGTATTTAAAAAATTAATTCCATTAAAACCGTGTTGCAGCATGAAGAAAGTGTCTTTCCCAGTATTTGCAAATTGCTGTAACAATGCTGAATAACCTACCCTGTTTTATGCTTAATACAATCTAAATTCTGCTGTAATACTTGCACAGCAGATAATGAAGAGACAGATGAAGACTGGATCCATATTGCCAGCTTAGGCAGACTGAAGGGAGGCTGCTGCAGCCAAATAAGCAATATCTAGCCTTAAAAAGAAATTTCTCACACTTGTGTAAAATTCCTGCCAGCACCCAGAGTTCTCATGTAGTCAGTACTGATAGCTACCAAAACCAGAACATACTGTGAACTAAGCCAAGTGGCACAAAAATTGATAGGAAAGTCAGTTGTGTGCTATTTATTTAAAGAGACTGAAGAAGACGTCACCTTTTGCATGACAACTTTTTCACCAGAGTATCTTCCAAGAATTAAGAAACGTAGACACAGATGAGAAAACTGCCATAGCGCTGAAATTCATACATCCCACAGGGTATGGTAACACTGAGATCTAAGCTAGGCATGTTTAAACCATTACAGCAGGACAGGGGAGATATCCTCCTTCATGTTAAAGGTACAAGTTTAACTCAGAGTACAGTCAATGCTCTGAAGTAGAACTGTATTTCAGACATAATTTCTTACTAGCCAACTCCTTTGGAGTCTGTTTAGTATATGGATTGTTTCAAACAGTATAGGGTGCTATAGAATCTCTCCAAGCACTGTGTGCAGAGTACTTAGGTGCATAATATAGATACCCAGGAGCCAGGTATCTGAACATAATATGGCAACATCTAGGTTACTGTATTTTCTTCAACATAGTCTTAAATGCTTTCCTCCCCCAGTAGAGGACATTGCAGAGTCTCAGTGTAGAATTCTGTAAGTGCCCTAGGACAGTCATAGAGTCACAGATTGGTTTGGGTTGGAAGGAACCTTAAAGCTCTATCCCCTGCCATTGGCAAGGACACTCTCCACTAGGCCAAGTTGCTCAAGGCCCATCCAGCCTGGACTTCAACACTGCCCAATAACATTTACAGAATGAAATCCAACTGGAAAAATTTAATCTTCAAATAAGAATTTTTAGTATGAAAACCATCTTGTTCTGATGCTGCCATCTTCTGTGTTTCATATGAAGTACTATGTGAACTTCATATGAAGTGCTGTATGATTTGGGTTGGTTTGTCTCTGTCTGTTCTCCCCAGCCCCTCTGACTTGATTACTGGACTGTTAAAACTGGAATACATCTATGCTAAAGCTCCTTGTATTGAAAAAGGTATAACTGAATTCCATAATAGACAGTCTCATTCACTTTTCAAGAGACACAAAAACAAATAGTACAGTCACCTTTGCATCATTATTATGATAATTTCTCTTTTAAGGAAAAAAGAGATCATTTTAAATCTAGGTTTCCTTCTGCTGACATCAGTGGGCATGTTACCAGCAGGAGCAAAACATGGTAAGAGAAGCATCATTTGTAGCTGTCAGTTTAAGATTACTTAACTCATACATCTTGGAATGCTCTGGTAGAAGTTCAGACTTGAAGTCACATCCCAGCTGAGTCAGCCTACACTGGCCACAGAGTTCCACCTGCCACTGAAATACTGTGTGGTAGCCACTAATGCAGACAGGGAATTAGACTTGCTGAACAAGGATGAGAAATGACATTGACACACGTTTAGTCTCTAATGCCATTAAGTCATTTCATTAATACAGTACTTATACAGCAATAACAATACAGCTTGCTTTGTTTTAATGCGTGATCAGAAATGTGAAAAATCATAATACCCTTATCATAATACTTTTTTTTTTTTTTTTTTTCAGAAAAGAAAAGATCTGGATTGTTTGAACAAATCACCAAAACTCATGGAACAATCATTGGCATCACGTCAGGGGTAGTTTTAGTACTTCTCATCATTTCAATTCTAGTACAAGTAAAGCAACCTCGCAAAAAGGTTATGGCTTGCAAGACTGCTTTCAATAAAACTGGCTTCCAGGAAGTATTTGATCCTCCACATTATGAACTGTTTTCACTAAGGGACAAAGAAATTTCTGCAGATCTGGCAGATTTATCAGAAGAACTTGAAAACTACCAGAAAATGAGACGCCCTTCAACAGCTTCCAGATGCATTCATGACCACCACTGTGGCTCCCAGGCCTCCAATACAAAACAGAGCAGGACAAACCTCAGCTCCGTGGAACTTCCGTTCCGCAATGACTTTGCGCAGCCTCAGCCAATGAAAACATTTAACAGCACATTCAAGAAAAGTACTTACACTTTCAAACAAGCGCATGACTGCCCTGAGCAAGTCATAGAAGACAGGGTGATGGAGGAGATTCCATGCGAAATTTATGTTCGAGGAAGAGAAGATGCGGCACAAGGTTCATTATCTATTGACTTTTGATTTCCTAGTGAAGGTGGTATCAGTGTCTATACAAGATGCTTGTGTACAATGACAGTGTATATATTAAAAGTCTATTATATGCAGTGTGTGAGATGCACACACTTTTAGCTTATTATACTTCATTTTAAAAAAGTCTGCATAACTATTACTTGCTGAGAAATGGTGGATTTCCTCCCATCTTCCCATGATACCAATCTAGTGGAGGAATAAGACAGACTTTGCATGGAAATTGTAAGTAAAGGATATTGGAAGAAAAAACCCAACAGCTACTAATCTCTGAAGACTGAAAACAATGATTACTATTCTCTTCCTTATCTAATTTTCTCTTCTTTAGATGTCTGCTTTTCAAGACAATTTTAATACCTCAGTTACATAAATAAAAGTGCATCACATGTATGTCAACATAGGCGTCTTACTGTATTTGTCAAATTGAAAATAGTGTTAAGTGCCAGTTAAGAATCAAGAATTATGTTACAGCCATGTTTTATCTTGCCTACTGTTTATATTGCCTTTAATTATCAGTTCCTCACTCTGTGCTTTGTGAGAAATAAGTGAAAAGGGTTACTGACTTTTAAAATACTGAGTCACATGAATTTTAGTACATTTGAACATACATAATTTTGCAGCTTGTGGTTTAAACACAAGTAAGTACTCATGTTAGTCTAGATGCAGACTTTTACAACAGTATTCTTTCAAGAAGGTTTGGGATTTTAAAATACTTTGCCATATATTACAGATCCATATGGCTCACTGATTTCATAGCTCTGTAGTTAGAAAACTATTTTGTTCCTGCCTTTTCGAAGTACTGACATAAATAGGCTGTACTGTACATTTGCCTCTTAAAATAGCCTTTTACTCCATATTGCAGCAAATCTTCCCTACTGAAATCAGTGGTAATACTTTTAGCTCATGTCCTACTTGCCTGAAGAGAACTGCTCTGAGGTCTGTGTGACTACCAGGTACATGAAGATACTGGAGACAAAGAGAAATCACAAAGCAACTCTTCACCCTTGGAACCTTCGTTACGCCCCTTGATTCCACTTGCAAAATTGCACATTTCATACCTTTTTCAATGATGGTTTGGACCTAATTTAAAAATTTTTACAATATAAAAAACTTTTTAAAATAAAATAATTCTCATTGTGGTTTTTAAACTTTTTATATCGTTTGATATACTGTACAGACTATTTATTGAAACAAAATCTAGCAGCTGTACAGCAGGCTTGTTTCAGTGTCCCTGTTTGCAGCTCAGAGTAACACGCAGTGCCTGCTGTGTACATTGCAATTTGCCAAAAATACTTAATATTATTTCCACATTAGCCTACATTTTAGTCCCTGGTTTGTTTGGGTTTATTGTGGGGGTTTTTTTAATGGAATTCTTTCACTAAAGGTGACCAACCAGCCTGCACTGGGCATATCCTTTATTTACAAATGTATGTAAAACCATAATGTATGCTGTGCTGACTATCGTAAAAAAAAAAAACCAAAAAAAACCCCAAACTTTAATATACAACCCTAGCAACTGAAAAATCTTTTTTTTTAAATAGAAAATGAACAACAGCTGTAGTCACAGATT